TTTTGAGACAGAGTCTTGCTCTGTCACCCAGGCTGGGAGTGCAGTGGCCTGATCTCAGCCTCTGCCTCCCGGGTTCAAGCGATTTTCCTGCCTCAGCCTCAGGAGTAGTTGGGATTACAGGCATCCACCACCATGCCCGGCTAATTTTAGTAGAGACAGGGTTTCACCATGTTGGCAAGGCTGGTCTCGAATTCCTGACCTCAAGTGATCCACCTGCTTCAGCCTCCCTATATGCTGAGATTACAGGTGTGAGCCACGCACCTGGCCATAATTTGTAATAATAATTATTTTTTTTCTTGAAATGGAGTTTCACTCTTGTTGCCCAGGCTGGAGTGCAATGGCGTGATCCTGGCTTACCACAACCTCTGCCTCTCAGGTTCAAGTGATTCTCCTGCCTCAGCCTCCCAAATAGCTGGGATTACAGGCATGCACCACCACATCCAGATAATTTTGTAATTTTTTAGTAGAGACAAGGTTTCTCCATGTTGGTCAGGCTGGTCTGGAACGCCCAACCTCAAGCGATATGCTCGCCTTGGCCTCCCAAAGCACTGGGATTACAGGCATGAGCCACCACGCCCAACCAATTTATAATTATTAACTCGAAGTAAGTGGGGCAGAATTTCCAATTTTCCTAGGCAGTCCTCCTAACGGCTGGAAAGAGCACTGGACTGAGTCTGAAGACCTAGGTTATGACTTCCAATTTGCCACTATCCAATTATGCCATTTATAGCAAATCACAATGTTTCCGGGCCTTAAGAGATCTGCGGTTACAGCATCCTTATTTTACTGATAAAGAAATTGAGTTTCCTTTGAGGTCTAACACTCTAAAAAATTAAGCTAGGCCAGATGCAATGGTTCACGCCTGTAATCTCAGTAGTTTGGGAGGCCGAGGCAGGTGGATCACTTGAGGTCAGCAGTTTAAGACCAGCCTGGCCAACATGGTGAAACCCTGTCTCTACTAAAAATGCAAAAAATAGCCGGGCGTGGTGTTGGTGTCCTCTAACTCCAGGTACTCGGGAGGCTGAGACAGGAGAATCGCTTGAACCCAGGAGAAAGAGGTTGCAATGAGCCAAGATAGAGACATTGCACTCCACCCTGGGCAACAAGAGTGAAACTCCGTCTCAAAAATAAATAAATAAATAAGCTCTGAAGCTCAAGTCGGTGGCAAAGGGCAGGAGTACTCACTTATTCAAGTTGGGTTTGAGAAGTCCTAATATCACCGAAAGTCTCCCTTTCTCATCTTCCTTTTCTCCACGTAGAAATCCTGCCACAGAACCGCATTCCGTAACTTGAAGCAGTAAGGTGAGGACCTCCCTAGCAACTTCCCGAGATCTTGGAGTGGTCCATGGTTGCTCCAAGCTGTGTGTGACGGCAAAAATATAAACGGGTCCTGCCAAGTGATGCAGGCCTGTCTGCCATGCAGGGCCGACCAGAGAATTCTTAGCAGTCTCAACCCTCTCCAACAGCTTAAGAAACAGTAACCCAACTGTGGCTGCTTTCTCGACCACTTCAGAGTGCCTAGCACCTCCACCTTCCTCCTCCTTGGGTGGGGCTGCATACTGCTCCAGGGCTTTTGCCACCTGCCCCAGTGTCTCGGACATTTCGCGGAGGTGGGCGCCACTCCCCTCAAATAACCTATCACATTCGGTGGCTTCTATTAGATCACCGAGGTCTTTAAGAGCCACATCTCTTGCGTTGCCTCGTCGTGCCACCGGGCCGGTAAGACAGTGTAAAATTTTGGAGAAGGCCTGTTCAAGGACGGGGGCAGATATCTCCCCGCACAAAGAAGAGACTTCCCGCGATGGGGTTTCCTGAGCGTTGTCAAGCTCCATTCCTGACTGTGGCACCAAAAAGCAGGTCTCTTCCACAGGATGAGAATGGAGGCGGAGATGGATCCGCTGAAGAGAGAAGAAGCGATCACCCAAAGAGAACTAAAATCAAATCAAAGAAAACGGAGAGACGTCTTGGAGGAAGGGGCGAGTCTAACCGGGATAAGAATAAAGAGAAAGGAAGGAACGCAAGAAAGGGAATAGGGACTCTCGGGGATTAAAAGTCTTATACTTGTAATAGCGATGTTAAAAAACGACTATTGCCTTTCTGAAGACTAAAAAGAAAAAAAAAAAACTAAACTTCTGAGCCATGTCACCAATGCGACCAACGCCAGGTACCTGCAGCGGCTCGTGCACCCCAGCGTCTAACAGGATCCGGACCTAGCTCATATTGCTGCCGCAAAGCACAAGGCTAGTTTCCGCCAGCACTGCCGCAACGCCCTCTCATTTCACGACGTACGGTCGTAAAGCAATAAAGATCCAGACTCGGGAAAATGACCGAAAGGTGGAATTACGGGGGAATAAATTTACATATATAATGATCCGCTGGCTAATTGTGTTTCTGTTTTCCTTTGCTAAGGGAGAAACAAAAGAATCACCATAGAATCTCAGTGTGACTTTGAAAATATCCAGGATTTTATACGTGAAGAGCAGACGTATTGCATTACGGTAGTCACCCTATCTGTAAAATTAGTGGCACATACTTGGAGCTTCTCAACGTCAACCGTAGAACGATCCTTTTGCAGTTCATGAGTGTGATGATTGGGTGTTCACACGTTTGTGTGAGATGTGCCACCCTCGAATCTTGTTACGACGTCGGCACATTACCCGTCTGACCTGAACTTAGAGGATCTTTTTAATTTCTTTGTTGGTGGTTTAATTGCGGGAGTGAAGTTAATAAAGTCAGGAATCCTGTGTTTATAATTTATAGACTTCTATTTGCTCTGATTGCACTGTGCATCCTCGGATATTCTTTCGTTACCCAACTGTGTAGCGTTTTCTAGTGCCTTTAACATTTTAGGCTTGCGGGTTTCCGTGCAGGTGCGTTACCTGGGTATATCGTGTTTGGGGTGCGTTTAGCGTGTTTTCAGTGCCCCATCTAGCAGGTCCCAGCGTCTGTTGTTGCCCCTTTTATGTCTATATGTTCCCAGTGTTAAGCTGCCACTTAGGAGTGAGAACATGGGGTATTTGGTTTTCTGTTCAATGCAATACTTTAGCTGGTCTCAGGAGCTAGCGTTTTAAAGCCTATAGCCGTAAGCGTTTGAAAATTCAAATTCCGCCCAGATGTGCTTTATGTAGTAGGAAGAAGAAAAAAAAAGAAAAGAAAAACGAAAATTCAAATTCTGGCGACAAGGGAAGAGCCCCCAGCTGGCATCTGGAGCAGCCCGGAGGGAGACGGGTCGTCGGATCCGGCTTGGGCCCGCCTCGCGGGTGTGGGCGCCGGGTGCGTGGGGACAGCCGAGCGCAGTCTTGGGCGTGGGCGGCAGGCGGCGCCCGGTACCGGCCCGGGGAGCCGGAGGCTGCGGGCTCGGGCCCCTGCGGGTGTAGAAAGCTGCCGTGTTTGGCTGGGTTTAGAAAAGGCATGAGAAAGGTCGCGCCTGTGCGACCGCCCATGTTAGCAACCCCCCCGCTCCTCCCGACACCAACACCACCACCACCAACGCCGCGTCGGCAGTGCTTATTCCCCTTCCTGCGCCTTCCTGGAGGGTGGAATTGCGTCCGATTGACCTTCAGTTCCCGAGGGGCCGGTTATATTTAAGAACCTGTGACTCCCATAGCTTCCACAGGTCGCAGGAGACCGAGGAGGCAAACTTCATTTGTGCCACTGCACAGGCGGGAGCCTGGGATACTGGGAGGGGTGGCACGAGAGAGACGTGTCGGCCACTGCTCCGAGAGGGACCACTATTCAGCCTCTAGGCGTCCTCTCGCATCCAGGGCCCCAGGAGTCCAGAGAAAGCCCTGCGGGGTCTTCTGACCTGGGGTAGGGTGAGGGGTGTGTGCGCGCAGGGGCGAGGGAGGGGGGCGTGTCTCGTGTCCTTTGTCCTCGCGAGGAGGTGGTCATGGGGTAGGGGGACATACAGTACTTTCGTCCCACCTTGGAGAGGGCACGCGCTTCTTGGTGCAGTACTTGCGACTGTCCCATCTGCGGTATCTTGCGGCCTACTCGCCTGCCCTTCTTTCCATTTTGCTGTGACCTCGGGCAAAAGTTTGGTAACCTCTCTGTGCTTTAATTTTTATTTATTTATTTACTTAAGACGGAGTCTCGCTCTCGCTCAGGCTGGAGTACAATGGCGCAATCTCGGCTCGCTGCAACCTCCGCCTCCCAGATTCAAGCGATTCTCCTGCCTCAGCCTACCTAGTAGCTGGGATCACAGAGGCACGCCATCACTCCGGCTAATTTTTTGTATTTTTAGTAGAGACGGGGTTTCACTGTGTTAGCCAGGATGGCCTCGATTTCCTGACCTCGTGATCCTCTCACCTCGGCCTCCCAAAGTTCTGGGATTACAGGCGTGAGCCACTGTGCCCGGCTCTTTGTATTTTTTATTTAATTTAAAATTTTGTCTTAGAGAAAGGGTCTTGCTTTGTCGCCCACGCAGGAGTGCAGTGGTGTCATCATATCTCACTGCAGCCTCAAACTCCTGGGTTCAAGCCATTCTCCCGCCTCTGCCTCCCAGTAACTGGGGCCACTGGCGAGCCCCATCACGCCCTGCTATTTTTTTTCTAGTATTTTTGTAGAGATGGGGTCTCACTATGTTACCAAGGCTGATCTCGAGCTCCTGCCTCGAGCAATCCTTCCGCCTTGGCCTCCCTACGCTCTAGGATTAGAGATGTGAGCCACCTCACCTCGCAGGTGCCTTAATTTATTTTTCTTTTCTTATTTTATTTTATTTTAATTTTCTTATTTTATTTTATTTTTCTTCCTTTTTTTAAAGAGGGAGTCTCGCTCTGTCTCTCAGGCTGGAGTGCAGTGGTGCAATCTTGGCTCACGGCAACCTCCGCCTACCCAGGTTCAAGCGATTCTTTCTCCTACCTCAGCCTCCGAGTAACTGGGATTACAGGCTAGGGCCACCACACTCAGCTAATTTTGTATTTTTAGTAGACACGGAGTTTTACCATGTTGACCAGGCTGGTCTTGAATTCCTAACCTCAAGTGATTCACCCACCGTGGCCACCCAAAGTGCTGCAATTACAGGCAATTTCAACCACTGGTAACCATTTCCTCCCTAGGGGACGCTCCTGTTTGCAGGCCCTAGTGGAAGCAAGATGCCAATCAATAGACAGTTATTGTATCCCTCCTGTGTGCCACTGTCTCTTCCCTGCTCCGTGTGCTCCCTGTGTTAAGTGGACCCACGCTATTACTTCTTATAAGGAAAGCACTTGCATTGTGGAGATCTCCCCATGTGCGCTTGTGAGTTTCCTGAAGCGAGACCGTGTCTTTATTCCCAGTGCCTGGCACGATTTGATCATGCAATAAATGTTTGTTGAGCCCACACGCCTGTCCACAGAGGACTGGCTGAATAAGCTACGTACATCAACACAATGCAGTTTTGTGCAGCCGTATAGAGGAAAGAGAACCATCTCTGTGGACTGCCTTGGAAATCTAGGATGTATTGTTAAGTGAAAAAAGAGGGCAGAGGCCATGTATATGCTGCCTTTGTTTTTATTTTGCCCGCTTTTCACATGTGTTGAAATGTTGCCTTTCTTGTAAGAAAGATGGGGAAATAAAGATAATGATGTGTGCATTTGCTTACAAGTTAAAGAAGCAATAGAGTGTAAATTTACAAATTAATGGCTGGGCATGGTGGCTTATGTCTGTAATCCCAGCACTTTGGGAGGCTGAGGCAGGTGGACCACGAGATCAGGAGTTGAAGACCAGCCCGAACAACATGGTGAAACCCCGTCTACTAAAAATACAAAAATTATTTTTTGTATTTACTCATCACCGGGTGTGGTGGTGAGTGCCTGCAATCCCCGCTACTCAGGAGGCTAAGGCAGGAGAATTGCTTGAATCCGGGAGGTGGAGGCTGCAATGAGCTGAGATGACCCCACTGCACTCCAGCCTGGGTGACAGTGCCAGACTCTGTCTCAAAAAAA